TGACAGAGAGCTCTTAATCACTGCTTCTTTTGTGGTTATTTTCCAAGCATGGCAGGGAATGCGGATGCCAAGTTGAGGTCCTGAAATCCATTCATAACTGTGTTTTCTTGAAGTCAGCCGTCGGATCCTGTGCCCTGGTTTTTATTAACAATTGCTCGGGGTATGGCAGGACGGTACCATTGAGAGGGAAGCTGGGATGTTACTCTGGATGCAAGTGGGCCCCAGTCGCCTAGAGTTCTTGACAACATGTGCTCCGAACCAGGAAGTCTAGCTGGAGCCTGGGACTCTGCGATTCTAGCCAACTTCCAGGGGCTGTCAGATACCACTAAGTCCGTGGACCACACTTTGAGAAGCAAGGATTTCGACCGATGGTTCTCAGACTTCAGCCCACAGCACCATTCCATGGGGAGTCTGTTAGCACAGAGGCTGCTGGGCGCCACCCCTGAGTTTTAGATTCGGTGGGTTGGGAAGATCCCCTGGAGGAGGAAATGGCAACCCTACTCCAGTACCCTTGCCTGGAGAATCCCTGGGACAGAGGAGCCTGGTGGGCTGCAGTCCACAGCATCTCAAAGAATTGGACATGACTGAAGTGACTTAGCACCCATGCATGGGACTGGGATGGGACTTAAGAATCTGTATTTCTAACCAGTTTCCAGGGGATGTTGCCGTCATGGGTCTGGGCAGCCTGTCTAAGAAGTGCTGATGCAGAGAGTCTGAGGCCTGGAATCAGGCCGCCTGGGTTCACACGGCAGCTTCACCAGGAGGTGACTTTGCATAAGTGATACTGAGCTCCTCCTGTACCAGAGCCTCCCCGCCTGGAAATGGAGCCAAGAGCAGCACCCACTCCACGGCGAGCAGACGTGACGGTCCACACGAGGGCCTCAATAACATCAGCTCTTTCTATCATGACTGCTGTTTCTCTTCAATCATATCATATCACAGCCACCCGTCCTCAGGAAATACAGATGTGAAGGAAAATCCCTGTGACACTGCAGGACCCTTACTTCTGTGAAACATTCTGTTGTCTCTCTGGATCTTTGCTACTTGAAATGTCAGCTCTAAGTTTTAAGCAAAATGCTAATTAACTCTGCAATTTAAAAAATGTATTTATTTATTTGTCTGGGCTGGGTCCTTTTCTCCCTGCGGTGGGCCGTCTCTCCTTGCAGTGAGGGGCTACTCCCTGGTTGCGGTTCAAGGGCTTCTCAATGCAGTGGCTCTCGGTTGTGGAGTACAGACTCCAGGCACTCAGGCTCAGCAGCTGCGGTTCCGGGGCTCAGTTGCTCCCCAGCACGTGAACTCTTTCCAGACCAGGGATGAAACCTGTGTCCCTGGTATTGGCAGGTGGATTCTTAACCACCGGGCCACCAGGGAAGTCCTAGTGTTGCAATTTTGACCCCTTATCATTCATCTCAAATAGATGGGGAAACAATGGAAACAGTGACAGACTTTATTTTTGGGGGACTCCAAAATCACTGCAGATGGTGACTGCAGCCGTGAAATTAAAACATGCTTACCCCTTGGAAGGAAAGTTATGAGCAATCTAGACAGCATATTAAAAAGCAGAGACACTACTATGCCAAAAAGGTCTGTCTACTCAAAGCTATGGCTTTTCCAGTGGTCATGTATGGATGTGAGAGTTGGACTATAAAGAAAGCTGAGTGCCGAAGAACTGATGCTTTTGAACTGTGGTATTGGAGAAGACTCTTGAGAGTCTCTTGGACTGCAAGGAGATCCAACCAGTCTATCCTAAAGGAGATCAGTCCTGGGTGTTGATTGGAAGGACTGATGTTGAAGCTGAAACTCCAATACTTTGGCCACTTGATGCAAAGAACTGACTCACTGGAAAAGACCCTGATGCTGGGAAAGATTGAAGGCAGGAGGAGAAGGGGACGACAGGATGAGATGGTTGGATGGCATCACTGACTCAATGGACATGAGTTTGAGTAAACTCTGGGAGTTGGTGATGGACAGGGAGGCCTGGCGTGCTGTGGTTCATGGGGTCGCAAGGAGTCGGACATCACTGAGCGACTGAACTGAACTGATCACTCATCCCTCCTCTTCCTGCCTGTCCTCATTTTGCTGCATTCCAACTAACACCTGGTTCTTGAAACGCTGCTCACGTTTGCTCTTCCGTGTGGCCCCTCAGCTGTTCCATGCTCCCCTTTCCTCCTCTCCAAGTCTTGGTCCAAACTGCCTTCATGTTTAGAACCTCCCTCTGCAGTTTTGCACACACAGGGAATCCATGTGGTTCCTGAAATGCTGCTCAAGTTTGATTCTCTTTGGGAAGTTTTCTGAGATTAACCGTCTCATCCGTAAACCACTTGCGCGGTTTCAGCCGTGCTCTCCCCACCCATACCCCGCTGCGGGCTCACACTGCTCTCTCACTTCCTATGTCCGTGCTCCATGCGCTGGGGCAGCAGGAGGCCTCACTAGTCTTTCACAAACACGCTATATGAAAGAACAATGGGCAGCCAGGCATTAGCGTGTGAGAAATCACTTGGTAAATTTATAAACAGCATTCATCTAGAGGTGACCTCAGTCGTACAGGTACTTTATAAAGATGCCTGTACAGACGATGAGATGGTTGGATGGCATCACCGACTCAATGGAGATGAGTTTGAGTAGACTCCAGGAGTTGGTGATGGACAGGGAGGCCTGGAGTGCTGTGGTCCATGGGTTCTTGAAGAGTCGGACACGACCGAGCAACTGAACTGAACTGCACTGAACTGTACAGACCAAGGCAATCACCTTTCGTGGGAAGAGGCTTCCAACCAAATCAAGCGTCTAGAAATCGGGGAGTCTCTGATGAGACAGAAGGTATGGGGGTGCTTTGGCTCACACCTGTGACCAGGGGCAAAGAACTACTGGGTAGAGGGAGAGTTAGCTAGTAAGGCGTTTTTTTTTTGGTGGGGGGTGGGCTGCACTTTGCAATAAGTGGGATCTTAGTTCCCTGACCAGAGATCGAACCCGTGCCTCCTGCACTGGAAGGACAGAGTCTTAAGCACTGGAGCTCCAGGGAAGCTCCCTAGCGAGTCTCTGTGCGAATGGAAAATTTGTAAAGAATGGATTTTAGGTTCATATGCTGCTTCCAATGCTTTTCCTAAAAAAATATTATTCTGAGCGTGTGGGAGGCCAACACTTGGGGTGAAACTTGTTCTTCTATATTATTACATAGTTATACTCCCCAAACATAACTCTTATGGCACATAAAGAGCCAAGCCCAAAGGCTGCTGCCCTAATCAGGCTGTGCTGGGTGCTCAACAGACAAGGAAAGCTCTGGCCGGGGGCAGCTGCTGGGCAAGGCAGGGCCAGGGCGGTGTGTGCACCGGGCCAAGGAGGCCCAGGTCAGCTCCTCCTACCCTCAAGCACGAGTGTGCCTTCTCAGAAAGAGGGCGACGGCATAAACCTGCTCGGACAGCAAGACAATGCTAACTGAAAAATGGACACACTGCAGAGTACTGGGCAATGCAATTAAGTGTGCGATGGAGAAGGAAAGGGCAACCCACGCCAGTATTCTGGCCTGGCAAACCCCATGGACAGGGGAGCCTGGCGGGATATAGTCCATGGGGTTGCAGAGAGTCAGACACGACTTAGCGATTAAAACAACGAGTAGGTGGACTACTTGCCCCTCCAAAAAAAAAGGTGACCGTGGCAACAACAGCACATCTTCAGGGACAGAAGCCACAGGCATTTGAAGCCCTGCACACCTAAGGACCACACAAGGGCGGGAAGAGCACACCCATTTGAAGATAAGATCACGGAGGTCGCCCGCCAAGGCCGTCCGGTCAGCAGGTGGAGTGGGGAGGGTCTCTGCTGGAAACACAGCCCCGTCTGCTGAGACGCTGGGCCTTCTGGGGCCCCGATGACTGTGAACGCACATGTGTCACCTTATAAGGGAATAAACTGCAGGCGGCTAATGTATAACGATTTCAACCCCATCACTGCATTTCTGGAGGTACTGTCATGATACCAGACGAGAGGTGAAACGCCCAGCCCCTGAAGAGGCTGGAGGCAGAGGTTTGCTCTCCACGGAAGCATCTCGTTTTGTCTGAGGAAGGAGCGGGGAGTGGGGTGCTGGGCTCTGGGTGAGGCCGTGTGTACACCCCAGGCCCGCGAGATCACAGCATCCTTTGGTGCTGCCTTCCCAGACCCCGCTTCCCCTCCTGGGCCTGGAGATGCCACTCCTTAAGGCCTCTGCTTGGCGGCGGCTGACGGAGGAGCGTGGGGTAACTGGCGACAAGGAAGCTGTTTACCCAAAGTACACGTCCTGCGGCAGCAGCTGCTGGGTCTACAGGGAAGACCTGATGCTGAATCTTTTAATTAGAACAAATTATGCTAAAATTACTCTAAAACCCTGTCTGATAGATGACACACTACAGTGGGAATTCTTTTAAATACCGGTGAACAGGCCATAGACAAAAATGCCACAGGCAAAGCATGTTGCGGTAAGCGGGGCCTCGATGCTGCATAATTCATGCACTCACACATATGTCAAGATGGTTTCCCGGGAGCACATTTGCTTCCCAAGAAGATGTCCACACTTGAAAAAAAGAAAAAAAAAAGCAAGGGGTAAGACTCTCCCAAACTTAAGAGGATATACCAGGAACCTGGACCAATGGCTAAGGAGGAAGAATTATGTGTATTGATTTGATGCCAAAAAAGTGAAGCCTAACCACCTACAGTGGTTCCACACTAATGCTGGAACATGAAGGCCACCTCGTGGAGGGATGTGTGAGCACGGGCACAGCCTCTCCTAAAGCCTCAGTTTCCCAATCTGTCAAGTGGGGCGAACCTCCACCGCGTCCCTCCACTGCAGCGGGACACGGGATGACGTGGGTGAGGCTGCCGATTGAGGACACAACTGCTCCACAGGTGGACGGCGGGCTGCACGCCGTCGGCAGGGCGGCCGCGCTCACAGCAGAGCGCCGCGTCCAGCCCCTGGTTTACAACCGAGGACCGCGAGGCGGCCGCGGGTGCGCGGGGCCGTGCCTCTCTCTTACCACTGCTGACGGCTGAATTTGCAATGACCGTAGCCTCGCTCCACTGGTCGGCACTGGAGACAGAGTAGGACCGCTGCTGCATGCCGTCCGCTCGGCTGTTGAAGGAGCCCAGGCTGACGCCGCTCGCCATCTGAGACCCAGGCGCACTAGTGACATTCCCTAGGAATAAACAAGTCAGGTGAGCACCAGTGCGCACCGCACGCCCGAAGCCGGCACGAATCAGTCTGGGGGCTAGGCGCCTGCGCGCCGCGGACCTGACGCAGCGCGCACCTGGCCTCCGGATTCACGGAGAGGAGAGGCAACGCCGGAAGCAACAACGCTCCGGAGGAAAGCCGGGTGAAGCAAGCCTCACGGTGCTCGACAAAGGAACCCAAGGCTTCAGGTGGCTGCAACCACCGTGAGCCAAGACAAAGACGTGCACTGCCATCTCTAGACAGAGAAGCGGTGAAGACAGGAGACCCACTTTTGGGGAAAAAAAGAAAAAAACTACTCCCGGCAGGGCCTCCCTGGGGCCGCAAGGGTAAAGAATCCACCTGCCAATGCAGAAGCCTCAGACCGATCCCTGGGTCGGGAAGATTCCCTGGGAGAAGGAACCCACTCCAGTATCTTGCCTGGAGAATTCCAAGGACAGAGGAGCCTGGCGGGCTACAATCCAAGGGGTCGCAAGGAGCTGGACACAGCTGAGCGACTAAACAACGATATTCCAGCAGGCCAGGGAGACAAGGCGGATCCTGGAGGAGTCCTGCTGCGTCGACATATTGGTGCAAGCAAAACCATCACCAATAGGATTCCACTGTCTGCTGCCAGAGAGTTATTCTCATGGGACAGCCATACTTTATTATCAACACAAATCAGAGTTCCTAGATGCGACATGGGTGGCAGAGTCAGGCTCTTAAACCAGGTAAGTTTACTCTTCACCTTGAAAAGAGACTACACGGAGGGAAAATAATCTTGGCAACTTCACAGCATGCAGCGTGGTGAAAAATGGGTCCATTTTATACCTAATGATTTGAATCAGTTGCTCAACATCAGAGTGAATTATTGTCACCACAATTTCAGACTCAAAAATATAATTAAGCACCTTTCTCTAAAGCTCAGCCAATCACACCTTGCTGCTAGGGAGTTTGCTGGATCTATAAGGAGATCTTTGAGGGAATTAAATGTTTTTGTTTTTTTTTTTTAACATTCCTCCCATTTTGTTTTTGTTTTTTTTAGTTTAGAACCAATTAAGTTCTAAATTGTTTCCATAAAAGGTTTTCATAGCCCATGATTTTAAATACATAGAGCATACTGCTGCTGCTGCTAAGTCGCTTCAGTTGTGTCTGATTCTGTGCGACCCCATAGACGGCAGCCTACCAGGCTCCCCCCGTCCCTGGGATTCTCCAGGCAAGAACACTGGAGTGGGTTGCTATTTCCTTCTCCAATGCATGAAAGTGAAAAGTGAAGTCATGAAAAGCTTAGTGAAAAGCTTAGTCATGTCCAATTCTTAGTGACCCCATGGACTGCAGCCTACCAGGCTCCTCCATCCATGGGATTTTCCAGGCAAGAGTACTGGAGTGGGGTGCCATTTCCTTCTCCGATAGAGCATACTAGTAGTCCCCAAATCTGGCCAATTACCCATGGAGCTTTTTTAAAAATAGCAGCTGCAAAAAAAAAAAAAATTCAAATTTTGATTCCAGCGGTCTGGGGGGTAGAGCTCGAGGGAACACACATTTTTCAGAAGGACTTTGGTGGTCCTGGTGAGCAGCAAGAGGTGGAAACCAGGGCCCAGCCACAAACAAGGCCCTCACTGTCATTGCACGAAGCGATTAAAGAAGCGGAAAGATCCCGCTCTTAAAAATCTATTTCTACCTTAAAAAACGATGCCGACTATATGCTGCTGTGCAAAGTGGGTGCATCTCGAATATTGCAAAGGAAATAAAAACTACAGCGGAAGCTCTTCAGCACCAAGGACCACCGAGATCAGAGATGCTCTTGAGAAGTGCACCTGCCCTGGCTCGGCCGAGCTTCGGGAGTCCTCAGCCAGCCAGCTCCCCGTCTCCCTCCTGGCTCCGATGTTCTGATTCTAGGACTTGCTCGAGCCCCAAGAACATGGAAAGTCTCACGTCCTGAATGGTAGCGTCAAAACCAGCGCTGGCACCCGCTCCAGGGGCAGCAGGGGGCCAGGTGTGCGGCATCTCACGAGGATGGGGCGCGCAGGCTCAGCGAGGCGCCGCAGAGAGCCACTGCACACGCTCCTCGGGGTCTTCTCCACCTGCCATCGCTTAGGGAGCTGTCCTCGGGTGCACTTTGGCCAGATCCCTGCACGACGGGGCACTGTAACAGCCGGACGAGCATGCCCTGGAGCTGAGCGGGTGCTCCCCTCGGGCAGCTCGGCACGGTCTCCCCTGCGCTGACACCCGAGTCTCCCACCACCTTCTGTTTGCACCTTCTCCCCTCTTGGGGAGGACACCCACCGGGCAGCATCCATCAGCTCGGGTACCTCTGGCTCCCTGCTCAGCTGGACCAGGTGGGAATACTGGAGTGTGAAGTGGGGGTGCACATGTCTGGGCTCCCTCCCTGAGTGGGCGCCGGGGGTCCCTGTGCTGGAGGCTCGCTGGGGGTCACCCCCCTCCTCTCCCTTTAGGTCCGGGGTGGTCCTGGTGCTACCTGCACTACGCCCTGGCGTCCCTCTGCCCACAGCTCCATCCCTTTGTAAAGAAACTCTCCTGACCGAAAAGGTGTGGTCCTCAGCCTTCTCTTCCCTGTGGGGACGCCCGTCCCACGCACCCACCATTTAAGAGGGGCTCACAACCTCTCCCGAGGCGCTGAGGCCTTTTCTGGTTTCATCAGCAGAACTCAGAAAAACACTAACATTTTTGGGACTTCCCTGGGGGCGGGGAGGCCCAGTGGTAAAGACTCCAAGCTTCCAATGCAGGGGGGTTGCAGGTTGGACTCCCTGGTCGGGGAACCAAGATCCCCACATGCTGGGCATGTGGCCAAGAAAAAAAATGCTAACATTTTTATGGTGGATGGAAGGAAAAGCAAGCAAACAGGAGGAAAAGCACAGGGATAAGATGCATGTGGGCTGGGACCCCACTCTGAGCCAGGCCCCCCCACCCCAGGCTGGGCTGCCCACAGGGATGCCTGCTGTTTGCTGAGAATGTTAAGGCGATGCTTCCATCCTCCCTTCAGTGCCCACCTGTACCTCTGACAAGTCCTTATCAAGGGTGGACCTGTGTGTACTCAGTCATGTCCAACTCCTTGTGACCCCATGGACCCACAGGAGCCCACCAAGCTCCTGTGTCCATGGAATTCTCCAGGCAAGAATACTAGAGTGGGTTGCTATCTTCTCCAGGGGCTCTTCCTGACCCAGGGATGGAATGCAGGTCTCCTGCATTGCAGGTGGATTCACTACCATGTGAGACACCAGGGAAGCCCACCAAGTGTGGGATTTATCCACAAAATCTCATTTCACACTACCTTCAGGCACACAAGGCCAAAACACCTGAAAAGCCAAGAGTGAGTTCACCATCTATCCGTCTTTGGGCTGATGAATTGATCAGGTGACTTTTCCTTTGTTCATTCTGTCTGGGGTGTGGCTCCGAGGACAACCAGCCGCAAACCCTCTTGACACATTTGCTTCCATCAAAAGGTGGATGGGATGATCTAAGTGTGTCTATCCCTGACTACTCGGTACCAGACTCCAGGAATAAGCGTCCACACACACTCAGATGCCGAGGTCAACCTCAACTCCAGATCAGGGACACAGGCAATGTTCAAATGGAGACATTCAATAAAGGGCTAATCTTAGGATGATAAGCTCTTCGTCTTAAAGTCAAACATCAACCATAGGAAAGCGAAGGGGTGGATTTATTACAAATGTACATGCTAATGAAAAACTATGTGATGACGCTGATTGTACAAGTGGTTTTTCAACTTCCAGCTGCTTGTTGAATGACATTTTTAGCACATTATGCTGCTGGTGGATCTGCTCTGGGGTTCAGATCCTGAGGGGGCCCCCAAGGAACCAAACTGGGGTCTCTGGAGTGAAGAAATTCCCATAAGGCTGTGTGGTCCTGGTGTCTGCAGAATCTGTATGAGACCCAAAACAGCTGTGTGGAATCCTTAGGCAAGCCCACGCCAAGGGCCTGCCAGCTGGTGAGGATCTTCTTATCCCTACATGCTCAGTCATGTCTGACTCTTTGCGACCCCATGGGTTGTAGCCTGCCAGGCTCCTCATGGGGATTCTCCAGGCAAAAATACTGGAGTGGGTTGCCACTCCCTTCTCCAAGGGATCTTCCTGACCCGGGGATCTAACCTGCATCTCCTGCAAAGGAAGTGGGTTCTTTACCACTAGTGCCACCTGGGAGTTTCTTCACTCCAGAGACTTCAGTTTGGTTCCTTGGGGGCCCCCTAAGGAGCTGAACCCCAGAGCAAATCCTCCTGTGAGGCGCTAGTGGTAAAGAACCCACCTGCCAAGGCAGGAGATGCAAAAGATGCAGGTTCGATCCCTGGGTTGGGCAGATCTCCTGGAGGAGGAAATGGCAACCCACTCCAGTATTCTTGCTTGGAAAATTCCACGGACAGAGGAGCCTGGCGGGCTACAGTCCATGGGGTCACAAAGAGTCAGACACGACTGAAGTGACAGGCATACGAAAGAATGAAATTCTGCCATTTGCGGCAAGATGGATGGACTTGGAGGGCATTAGGCTGAGTAAGATAAGCCAGACAGAGAAAGACAAATACTGCATGATATCATGCACACATGGCACCTAAAAGCCACAACAAAGTGAGTATAACAAAGCAGCAGACACATGGGCAACCAAGGAGCTGTTACCAGTGGGGAGAGGGAAAGGGTAGGGACAAAAACTATTAGGTATAAAATAAGCTTGTACAACATGGGGAATATAGCCAATAGTTTATCATTCTAAATGGAGTATAACCTTCAAAATTGTGACTCACTATACCTGTAACTTGCATAATAACATTGTACTCCAATAAAAAATTTTAAACACATTTAGAAGGATAAAAAAATCATACAGACATGCACCAACAAGCCACCAGAACAACTTGTATAAGAATGTACATGGCAGAATTATTCAGAATAGTTCCACACTAGAAACGGCTGAAATGTCCATCCATCCACCACGGGGATCTCGTGGGAGATCCTCACCTGT